TTTTTTTTTGGTAAATAAAATCTTTGTGCATATGCTTTCTTCATTAGAGAAATTGGAGTTGGGGATCAACAAATTATTTTTTCCTCTTTAGAAAAAAAAAAACCAAACAAAAAAAAGAAAATCATGCCGCGAAAGGAAAGGCTGGCTGCCATTGAAACATTTTTGATAGAAAATCTGCCTGCAGCCCTACTGCTTAATCAGTTTGGAGCAGAGCGTAGCCTGTAGCTTGTTAATAAGAGCAGCTTGCCCGAGCGGTTTGCACAATGGTGAGCTGCAAAGGAGGCTTGTTGCATAGCTGTGGATTTTATTTTGCAGCTCTGTTAATTAAAACATATTTTACTTTGAAGGAGGTTTTTACTGTTTTCTATGAGGGTGAGCAGAAAACTGTTCTCCTGGATAGATTAAAGGAAGGACCTGAAGTTTGTTTTTTTTTAGAAGTAACAATTTAATGTTGTTTGATGGGCAAACTCTTAGCAAAAACAACGTGTAATTTCTTATTTTTATTTGTTCTCAGTCCTTGTATACAGGCTGGTTTATGAGTCTGAATATCTTGGCTGTTTTGATGGTATCAAACTAAATTTTCAAGCACAAGTTGCCAGGCTGGAACAGAAAAGTTGTCACAGATTCTTGTTTAATTGGTAAAGTAATTTTAACTTATATGAGGGTAAAGTAAAATAATAAGGCCTGAAACTGTGCCATTGAAGTTAATGACAAACCCCTCATAGGTTTCACATAAAGCCTGTATTTTTATTATCCCAGTTCCAGCGATTTTTGTTGCAAGTTTGCAGCAAAATGTTAGGGCATTTCTAAGTGTTATTTTTATTATACAAAATCCCATTAAAATCAGTACTGAAGCATCCCATTAATTTAAATGGGACTTTGCATAGTTTGCTGAGTTCCAGGCCACAGATAAAGAAAAGTATGCAATTTGGAGTTAAACTGACCACAGCTTTTTATTAGAAGACATTTAATCTCGAACAAACAGGGCAGTCTGAGGCATGAAGTCTTTGTGAACTTCATCTGGGCTGGTGCAACAGCAGCCTCAGCTCCTGAGTTGGTCGTCTGGGACCTCGTGAGGACCAGAGAGCATTCCCAAGCAAACCCCGAGCCCAGGTAGGTATGCAAAGTGCTCCCCAGGCAGCCCTGCCTAGGAAATGTGAATAGGTAAGCCAACACACCCAGAACAAATGGAAAACTTGATTCCGCTGTTTCTCTGGCTCCGAGTATCTGCTCGCCTTGACAAAGGCAAAGCTGCGATCAGAGGGCAGGAGTGTGGGGGTTCTCTGCGGCACCCGCTGGAAGGCAGAGTCCCACCGGGCTGGAGCCACGCTGGGTCGAAGCGATGCGGCTTCAGAAATCCCTC